ATCATAAAACCTTCAAAAGGAAAGGAGAATGTTTTGTGGACCATTTGGGGGGTGTGTGTGCGTGTGTGTGCGTGTGTGTGTGTATGCGTGTGTCAGTTTTTAAGTTATTAGTTTTAAAAATCTGTACCTTTAATGGAAACAACTTGACCAAAAGTTGGTCACAGAATTTTGAGACCCATCAACACAAAGTTTAATGAGAAAAAAAAGTTTTTGAATTCTGTGAGCAACTGCATCAGCTTGATATTTTATTTTTTAAATACTAGGTGTGCCAGTTAATAATGCGGATTTTTTTCAATAGATGGAGTTACACATATGTTGATATATATGTGATTTGATATGTATGCTATTTTGTTGTATTATTCCTTCAGATTACCACTTGTTCCAATCGATGGCACACGCACTTTCTGAGCAGCCCTTCAAAACGTACGAAGAAGTGGAAAATTGGGTCTCTGAATGGTCTGCCTCAAAACGAGAAAATTTCTATTGGGACAGTATCCACAAATTACCTGAAAGATGGGGGAAATGTGTAGCTAGTGATGGACATTACTTTGAGTAAAGCACTTTTGATGTTTCTCTTAAAATTATCATGTTTTCTTTGATTACAAAATCTGTATTAACTGGTTAATAATGTGGATTAACTATTAACTCTTAATCGGCTAATAATGGGGATTTTGTAATCAAAGAAAACACGATAATTTCAAGAGAAACATCAAAAGTGCGTGATTCAAAGTAATGTCCATCGCTAGCTACACATTTCCCCCATCTTTCAGGTAATTTGTGGAGCAAGGTCTGATGAATACAGCGGGTGGGTTAATACTTCCCAGGCAAGATCTTTTAACATGTCTTTAACTCAGTGGTTCTCAACCTTGGCTGCACATGAGAATCACCTGGGAATATTTTTTAAATCCTGATTTCTGGGCCTAATTCTCCGGAAATTCTGTTTCTTTGTTATGGGGTGAGGCCACAACATTAGTAACAAAGAAACAGAATTTCCGGAGGATGAGGCCCAGAAATCAGGATTTTAAAAAGATTCCTAGATGATTCTAATGTGCAGCCTAGTTTGAGAACCACTCCTTTAACTGGTTTTGAAGTGTGTGATGGTGCGTCATTATGAAGCAAAATTACTTTGCCATGTCTTCTGGATCATTCTGATCGTTTTACCATCAAAGCGTGGTTCAAATTGATTATTTGTTGTCCGTAGCGATCAGTATTAATGGTTTCACCTAGTTGTAGAAGCTCATAATACACCACACCTTCCTGATCCCACCAAACACAGAACAGTGTCTTCTTTTCAAAGTGATTGCAGTGGATGTTGATGGTTGACCTGGATCAACCCATGATTTTGTGCATTTGGGATTCTCAAAACAAATCCACTTTTCATCGCCAGTCACAATTCCATGCAAAAAAGACTTTCGTGTCATTGAAGCAATATTTTACTGATGACTTTTCGGTTTTCCATTTGTCTTTCGTTCAGTTGATGTGGCACCCATTTTCCTTCCTTCAAAATCTTTCCCATTGCTTGTAAATGATCGGAAATTGTTTGCTGAGCAACGTTTAATATTTCTGCAAGTTGTTTTTGAGTTTGACATGCATCTTCATCCAATAATGCTTGTAATTGTTGGTCTTCAAACTTTTTTTGTTGACCTGGATGCTCTTTGTCTTTCATATCGAAATCATCACTTTTAAAGCGTTTAAACCAGCGTTCACAAGTATCTTAAAATGGAGCATGTTCACCATAAGCTTCCAGAAGTATATGATAACTTTCAGCAGCACTTTTCTTCAAAATAAAGTAATGAATTAAAACTTCCCATAAATGCTCTTTTTTTTGGCATGAAATTCGACATTTTTTTAAAATATATTTTATTGATTTTACAGAGAGGAAGCGAGAGAGATAGTTAGAAACACAGATGAGAGAGAAACATCAATCAGCTGCCTCCTGCACACCTCCTACTGGGGATGTGCCCGCAACCAAGGTACATGCCCTTGACCGGAATCGAACCTGGGACCTTTCAGTCCGCAGGCCAACGCTCTATCCACTGAGCCAAACCGGTTACGGCTGAAATTCGACATTTTTAAGCGAAAAAATATCTATGATTTTAACACCTTCAGCAAATTTGACATATGAAGTTTTGAAGCTTGCTGTCAATACAACAAAATAGCATACATATCAAATCGCATGTATATCAACATATGTGCAACTCCATCTATTGAAAAAATCCGCATTATTAACCGGTACACCTAGTATATTTTTATTGATTTCAGAGAGAAAGGGAGAGGGAGAGAGCAATAGAAACAGCAATGATGAGAGAGCTGCCCCATACTGAGGATTGAGCCAGTAACCCGGGCACCCTGGGCACGTGCCCTGACCCAGAATTGAACAGTAACCTCCTGATTCACAGATAGACACTCAACCACTGAGCCATTACTGCTGGGCTCAGCTTGATATTTTAAAAAGGATTTTGAAACATTAAAATATTGTGTGTTACTAACACCAGCTTGTAATCACTGTGGTTTGGTTTGCTTCCATTTTATAATGGAAAATGTGTAGATCAGGTTTTCTAAGTGTCAGACATCAAGAATGTGTCCCTAATAATAACAGACTTTGATGATATATTTGTCATTTATTATATTCTAAATGTATTATGGGAGATAAATATATTACTTTATCCCACATTTTAAGTTCTTCTACCTGGCCCAATAATCAAATTGACAAAGACAGATTAACAGAAGAAAATCAAAGTTTTAATCCATTCACACGGGGAATTCACATAAGCATGAAAATTCCTAAGACAGTGAAGCAACATTGAGTATATATGACCTTTTGGACAAAGAAAAAAGGGGAGGGGACATGGGGTATTAGATTTCAGAAGTGAGAATGGATGATTTACAGGTAGTTGAGAAAGAGTAGAACACACATAGTAGGCAAATTATTGCTAGGCAACTCAGAAACAATGGAATGAGGTGGAGGGGGTAGGAGAATATATAGCTTATAGCCACCTGCCTAAAGCCCATCTATTTATCATTCTTAATTCAAATTAGGCTAAGGTGAACATCCTAATGTTCCCTTCCTGAAGCAGGATTTTGTCTCTGAATCTCTTGTGCAGGAAAAGGTGAAGGGTCAAGATTCTTTCCGAGTCTTTTGTTTCTTAATAACCAGCTTAAAATCAATATCTCAAAAGGCAGCTTCAAGGTGGTGAAAGGAGTTTTTAGGGGTAAGATAGGCAGCTTTAGGGAGTTTTAGAAATAAAAAGTGTCCATGGGGGAGGACTGAAAAGTTGGGGGCTGGGAGCTACCAAAAGGCATGCATTCACACAGAGAGAGAAGAGATACCCAAGGATAAGGGGAGAGGAATACACCCATTCACAGAACATAAGGGAAAACCCACAGGGAGTAGAGAAACAAAAGGGAGAAAAAGGAAAACAGATTTTCACAGGGGATAGCGAATTCTACCACAGAAGGGGGAGAAATAAAGGGGGACCCCAAGTAGGGTTTGAGCTTTGAAGCTGCTATAGTGACCAATCAGAGGGGATATCAGACACAGAAAATGCAACCTTTATGAACCTTAGGAAAAAGGGGGCTTAGTGGGGCACTCATTTGGGACCCCCTTCCTACGTGGGAGTCTGTGCTTGTTTTCCAATAATTTCCACCTTTCCATATACGACCTTTTGTCCATGGCTTCATTCTTCGAATCCACCTAAACAAGAACCCGGGAAAAGAAATCACCTTTGCATCCTACCCAGAGGAAAACCACGAGTTTCAGTTTGGTTTCTGAGTTTCAGTGGCAAAACTTTGGCTCCATTTAGTATATATTATTCTAAATGAATAGAATTTTAAATAGTTCATTATCAAGATCAGACTTAGCAACTAAGGCTACATCTACATGATTAAAAGTACCACATGACAAATACATATTGTCAAACATGTTATATGTACTTCAAGATATAAAATAACAAACCATAGTCTGAACCACATTTAATATTAAAAAGTATCAACATAATACCAAGGACATTCCACAAACCCTCTGCATAATGACACTCAAGAATAACTGGAAAATGTAATAAATAAAATCAGTTTTTGGGAGTGGGCTAGAGGAGGTCAATGGGTGGGAGAAGGGGACATCTGTAATACTTCAATAATAAAGATAAATAAAAAATTTAAAAAATAAAATAGGGGGAAAACAGTTTGGGTAGGGCGGGGTCTAAGGGAATCAACAGGGCAGAGCAAACAGCTATTGCAGATCCTCAGTCCTATCCTAAGAGGTCCCGCGTCTCAGTGTCCCAGCAATTGCTGCAAGCACCTCTGAGAGAAAGCTGCCCTCGAGTTCCAACCAATGCCAGACAGTCCAGTTTCTCCCCGAATGAGTCTAGGTCCCCAGAGACTCGCCCAGAACTGGAGTTCAGAGCAGTTGGGAGCTTGAGACTCCCTCCCCATTGAAAAAGACAACCGAGTCCTCAGTTGCCAGCCCTTTCCGGGCACGCCTCTGTACCTCTGCACTTTACTTCCGCACCTCCTCTGAGTCTGTGTGCTTTTCTCTTTTCTTCTAGCTGTAGAATTTCCACTCAGCCAGCCTTCCTGAGGTTCTGGATGATGTCTGTTTTGTCTTTTAGTTGTATTTTTGAAGTGGTTGTGCCACGCAGCAATTCCCGGTGTTTACCTATGTCGCCATCTTGGTTTCTCCTAATTCCCCACTTTCACTTTAAGAACAAATCCTCGGCCAGAAGCCCCGCCCCCGGGGGCGGGGCCGCGCCGCCATGGCAGCCTCCTCAGCGAGAGGTATTTAGCGGTAGCCTGAGGCTCGAGGTCGCGTGGGCGGCGGCAGCGGCGGTGACCAGCGGGGAGCCCGGAGGCCATAGCTGGGCGGCCTCTGAGCGGCAGCGGCCCAGTGAGTCTGGCGGGTGTCTGAGCGGCGCAGAGGCGGGGACTGCCCGTGCAGCGGGGTCAGCGGCGACGGGCGGGTGTAGCCGGGGCCTGGGTCCCAGACGCGCCCTCCTCCCTCAGAAATGAGCCGCCAGACTGCTACCGAGTTACCCACTGGGACCTCGAAGTGCACACCGTCGCAGAGGGTGCCCGCCCTCACGGGCACCACTGCGTCCAACAATGACCTGGCCAGTCTCTTTGAGTGTCCTGTCTGCTTTGACTATGTGTTGCCACCCATTCTTCAGTGTCAGAGCGGCCATTTTGTCTGTAGCAACTGTCGCCCAAAGCTCACGTGTTGTCCAACCTGCCGGGGCACCTTGGGATCCATTCGCAACTTGGCGATGGAGAAAGTGGCCAATTCGGTACTTTTCCCTTGTAAATACGCCTCTTCCGGGTGTGAGATCACTCTGCCCCACACGGAAAAAGCAGACCACGAGGAGCTCTGCGAGTTCCGGCCTTACTCCTGCCCCTGCCCCGGCGCGTCCTGTAAGTGGCAGGGCTCTCTGGATGCCGTGATGCCCCACCTGATGCATCAGCACAAGTCCATCACCACCCTGCAGGGGGAGGACATCGTGTTCCTTGCCATGGACATCAATCTCCCCGGAGCGGTGGGCTGGGTGATGATGCAGTCCTGCTTCGGCTTCCACTTCATGCTGGTCTTGGAGAAGCAGGAGAAGTATGACGGGCACCAGCAGTTCTTTGCACTTGTCCAGCTGATAGGAACGCCCAAGCAGGCGGAAAATTTTGCTTATCGACTCGAGCTAAATGGTCATAGGCGGCGATTGACTTGGGAAGCTACTCCCGGATCTATTCATGAGAGAATCGCAACGGCCATTATGAATAGCGACTGTCTAGTCTTTGACACCAGCACCGCACAGCTTTTTGCAGAAAATGGCAATCTAGGCATCAATGTCACTATTTCCATGTGTTGAAGTGGCGATCAAACGTTTTCTGGCCAGTGTTTAAAACCATTGCGTTCAACTTCACAGAGAATAGGCCCCCTCTGCCTGCCCCCTGAGACTTTTGGTAGGTGGAGCTAGTCACATGAAGGTAAATAAATGGAAAGGCTGTTAAATACAGGAAATGGTTGCATGTAGTAACACTAATATATTTAAAATAAGTCAACAGTAAACCACTGAAAAAAATATATATATACACCCAAGATGGGCATCTTTTGTATTAAGAAAGGAAACATTATAAAATAATTCTGAATTTGTGTTTGTTGTAACTTGAGTGTACTGTTGAGAAATACTGGGTTTTTGTTTCTGCGTGTGAGAGTGTGTGGGAGCGTGTGCGTGTGCTTGGGTTTTTTTTCCTTTAACTGACAAGCCATGTTGAGTGGTCTTGGGCCACTGCTTCCCCTCTTTTGAGTCAATACATAGTGCTGCTGTGTGTGTATATATTTTTTGTGTGTATTTGCTAATTTTTATTAATTCTTGTTTTTCATTAAATAAATTTGACTTTCTTTTCTGTAATTCAAGCTTTTCCCATTTTTTTTGTACCTTTTTAAAGTTAGTGTTTTTTTGATATGCATAATTTGTTTATGGTAAAGTTTATACATGTGTGTTCCATACATGTTTTTTCTCCCCATTAATCAGTTCATTAGAAATACTTTATATTCAGCCTCTTGTGAAGACACAAGTTCCAGAAAGGAGAGGTAACATCGGAAGAAAGATCAGAAGCTACTTAAAACAGCTAGAAGATGGTTGGTCGGTCGGTCTTTTTCTCTTTTTTCCAGTTGAGTCACGCCTTCAAACTTATTCTTTAAAAGGTAGTAGGATATACTGATTTTTAAAAAAATATTGAAAAATCCCCTCCCTCCCCCCAATATCTTGGACAAATCACATATGTTTAAAATTTGTTCTCATATTTATTGGTTTTGCAAAAGAAGGCATCATCTCACAGTATTTGTAATTAAAAGCAAAGCATTTGTTTAAAAAAAGGCAGTTTGCAAAAAAATGCTTTTGGTCTTTTATAATTCTCATTAAAAGAATATCTGGCAAATAAATAAATAAATAAATAAATAAATAAAATAAAAACAAATCCTCACCCAAGGACATAATTTTTTTTTAAATTATTATTTTAAATATGTTTTTATTGATTTTAGAGAGAAAAGAAGGGAGAGGGAGAGAGAGAGAGAGATAGAAACATCAATGATGAGCGAAGCCTCAGTTTCATATTTATTGTCTCCCACAACCTAGTCAAAATCTTCCTTGTATTGCTCTGCTTTGTAGGAATGCTCTTCTCTGCTCTCTATGCTCATTTAACTTCTACACTATCCTCAAACCCTGACTGGAAGCACAAAGACTGTGAGACTTACCTGTTTGCACCATCCCATAATGTCCTCCCTTGTTACATCTTAGCAACTTTAGGTGGTATTATCAAATCCTACTGTAAAATTACATTTCCTACCTGGCATATTTGTGGAACTTTGTATATACTTACTATATCATTTCAATACAAGTACTTATTACAGGAACACAAGTAGTTTAGAGACCATATCTGTCAATTATAACTGTCATGCTGTTGATGATTTTGACCTCTATAAAACACTGATACAGTGGGTGTCCTTTGATTCTAGGAAACGTATTGAAGTTCAGAAATGTTTTTCATGGCACTGTGTCAAATGCATTTCATGGCACTGTGTCAAATGTCTCTCTTTTCTGTTTTGTTCTTTGTCATTCCTAGTGCCAGTTGGAAAGCTAAAACATTATTTTATAGATTTCATTCTACCAAGCAAGGCCATAACCTTTTTTTATTTCCTATGCTGCACCTTCTTCGCAGGAAAAATTAGCATGGGTTCTTATGCTTATCAATAGCATCAGTACAGTCTAACCAAAATTACACTCCTCTGATGCATAGAACACTTTATAGCAACAAAACAGCTCTGCAACAGTCTTATAAACAGTAGTGATTATGTTTTATTATAATTTTTCCATTCCAGATTGATTATTTAATATCCAAAATCTGCAATGAAACTGAATCATTTAAAAGTAAACTGATGGTTCAATGCATATTCACCATTTTCTTTAAATATAGCTTAGTGTAAAATTTTCCATGAATTGTCAAATACACAATATTGTAATGAAAAAAATCATTTTCTCTGTGCTGTTAAGATATTGTTTCCTCAGATTAGAACACTAGAAGTCTGGCTTTTTTTTCTTCTTTTACTTCATAAAACAGTGAGAACAAAAACAGGATAAAGCCCATAGCAACAAGATATTTCTTTTACCATCTGTTTGATTTATGTCAAATTTAAACTGCTTGTATTTTAGAAAGGAATCTATTTTCTATCTTCAAAAGGATGCAATCCAACATCTCTCAGCTGCTAATTTTTAGCACTTAGAGGTTCCCTTGGGCTGCTGTCAACTACAACTTATTGCATAGGTACTTTTTACTAAACTCATTATAAAGTGATTAGCCTCCAGCAAGATCATGCAATGCTACAGCCTGCTTGCATTATATGTGGCTTTGCAACTGAATTTTGTACTGTCAAATCCCATCAGATAGTAAGTATAGAAAGACTCCTGGGATTGAACACATAGAATTTTGAGAGGGATCTTGTCAATCCTCTCTTAAACTATACCTTTTAAGAAAAGATATGCAAGTACATACACAAACACATACACATGCAAAATATATGCCACTACTACATTAGAATAGATGCCATCTTTAGTTAGCATCAAACACATTTTAAACATCCACGAATTATTTTTCAGCTTATGCTTTAAATCCAAAAGCTAATTAAGCAGCTTTGCCTTGATTTTATGAACAGTTATCATTAACATATGTAAGACTGCTGCTTTTTCATTAGCACATTTAAACTGACAATGCTTCTTATCTTAGTGTAACAGAGTTAGTCCATGCTTTTGGGTCCAATAGGTTGTCTCCTTTTCTGCAGTGAAACTAAAATTAAACTGATTATGTAGAGGCACAGTTTATTAGAAGTAGAAGGCTTATTTGGTTATTTATTTGCAAGACTCCCTAACAGTGTACGTTATCCCAGCTCCCAATATTCACCAGTGCCTGAAACTAGCATTACAGTGTGATACCGAATAGTCTGTACTAGAAGCTACATCAGCTACATTGTCCTCCCTCACTTATGATAAGGTTTGGTCATTATCTAGCTCATATTCTTGAATGGCCATGGTAGGGTTAAGTTGATGACACTCTTGTAGAAGTTTTCAAATATGAAAGAGCCACTTGTACAGTGCCTGTGAAAAAAAACACAGAATTCCCCATTTCGAAAACTTTCATGTTACAACTACCTCAAGTATAAAGGATAATTCAAAATAAATAATCTACTTTGAGTACAGAAGTATAAGTAAAGTTATTTTATTATTTGCTATTTTTTGTTGTTTAAGCTCAATTAGTACTTATTCTTAAGATGAGAATGATAGTTTTTTGAGTGAATAGATTATTTGCATATGGTTCATCATTGATGACAGCATCAAGATCCTCCAGTCATCTCTATCAGGGTCCTAGAGATCCTGAATTCCGGACTGGGCCCTGGGAAGACTTGCTCACAAAGCCAAAGGACTGGGCCTGGCCCTGCGACCTGAAAGTGAAGGTTTCTGCTGACAGTCTGGTGAAACCTAGGTTGTTGCTCCAGCATCCACCTGGGGCAAACCAGCCACCCCCGACTCCCCACCCACCCAACACTGCATCAACCAGAAAACCTCAATACTGGCTAAGGAACTTGAACCTGTGCTCTCCTGTCCTTGGGTCCCCTCACTCCATGTGAGAATTTTTTTTTTTAATTTATTGATTTTAGAGAGAGAAGGAAGAATGGAGAGAGAGAGAGAGAGAAAAATTTATTGTTTCATTTATTTATGCATTCATTGGTTGATTCTTCTATGTGCCCTGACTGGGGAACCATCCTTCAACCTTGGTGTATGGGGATGATGCGCTAACCAACTGAGCTATCCAGCCAGGACCCATCCGAGAATTTTTAATATTTTGCTAACAATTTTCCAATTACAAAGCTCCAGTGGCATGAGGTTGTGAATAGCTACTCCAGGAAGCTGGAGGAGATAAAAACAAACATTCTTTTCCCAAGAGGTTGAATTATAGATTTAACACTGGACTGGATAAAACACAATGAGTAGTAACATTTCAGTGCAGAGGAATGTCATTTGAAAAGTAAAACAACCTTGAATCAAAAAAGAAAAAAAAATACTTTACTTCAAACTTGAGCTTTCTGCTGGGCTACAGTGATTTCATTAGCTGAGCCAGTTGCACTTTAAAGTAGATGAAAATGCAAAAAGTCTACAGCCTTGTTACTTGCTGACTGAGAAATACCACTGATACTTGGAGACAATTGAATTGGCATACATATGTAATTTTATTTAAATAATGATAAGGCTGGTAATTCCCTAGGAGCCCATTCTGTCTGGGTAAGAAAGTTGCTGTTCTGGGATTAATGAAAGCAGAAGTGTCAGAAGTCTGGGGAGAGAGAGAGAAAAAATGTACTTTGAGTGTTTTTGCAGGACAGAGAGAAGGAAGAATTCTGCACCAAAGAATCAAACAAGGTTGTGATTTTTATTTTTTATCAGACAGGATTTCCACAGAAAGCTTGGGGAAATGATAAAATATGTGCTCTATTAGGTACTCTTTTGGACCAAATGGACTCCATAGTCCAGGGGGACCATCCCAAGTTTATCTCCTATCAAATCTTTATGGTAAAATCAATATTTGGCTATGTTTTAAAGAATGAGACTACAAGGCCAAAATAATTTTGGACAATCTGTACCCTGAAGATTAAAGAATAAGAAACTTCTCAACAGCATTTATCTATATTTTTTAAGAATAATGCTTGGTTACCAAACAGAGAAAGAGGGAAACTGTCCTCAGGGCATGATTTTTCTGGCATCAAATCTACCTCTTTGGAAAACAATACCTTAATTTTCTTTTGAGGCAATTGTTTTGGATTTGTTCTTTTCTAATAAGTCTTATTCATTTATTTAAAATTTAAAACTTTCTCGCCAAAACCGGTTTGGCTCAGTGGATAGAGCGTCGGTCTGCGGGCTGAAAGGTCCCAGGTTCGATTCCGGTCAAGGGCATGTACCTGGGTTGCGGGCACATCCCCAGTAAGAGATGTGCAGGAGGCAGCTGATCGATGTTTCTCTCTCATTGATGTTTCTAACTCTCTATCTCTCTCCCTTCCTCTCTGTAAAAAAATCTATAAAA